GCGGGTTGCCAACTCAGCTGGAGGACTTGGAAGATGATTTTTTTGGCAGTGGTGGAGGACTAGAATTGGAACCTGACGCTCCTCAGGATAACTCACTTAATGGTTTTGCAAAGTTAAGCTTGTCTGATGGTATTCTTGGAAGTATTGTTGGACTTCATGTCTTCCCAAACGGTGCTGGAACTGTTGCTGGAGAACACCCATATGGAGAGCATCCTTCTAGGACATTGTTTGTTCGTAATATTAACAGCAATGTTGAGGACTCCGAGCTGCAATCTTTATTTGAGGTAATATTTTAACGAAGTGCAGTCCTTACGGTCACGTCTCTTATTGACTATTCCTTCTGTGGTCTCCCTTGTTGTCGGTCAGATAGTCGCAGCTTATTCTGTTTGTTTCGGAGAAAAGCTCTCTTTTGTCCAACATATTATGTGCTTGAACACTGTACCCATTAGTATATAATTTGTCTTGAGAAGTAATACTGACCTGCTATAATTTGCTTTTTTCCTTGAAGCAATATGGTGATATCAGAACTTTGTATACTGCATGCAAGCATAGGGGCTTTGTGATGATATCTTACTATGATATCCGAGCTGCTCGAACTGCAATGCGCACACTACAAAATAAGCCTCTAAGACGGAGAAAGCTAGACATTCATTTTTCAATTCCTAAGGTCTGGGTAAAGATAATGTTCATTCTTAATTGGTAGACCTGCCCATATTTAAGGGCCAACGCTAACTGTCATTGTTTATTCCTATGTCCAGGAAAATCCATCAGAGAAAGATATTAACCAAGGAACACTGGTCATTTTCAACTTGGATCCTTCAGTATCCAATGAGGATCTCCGCCAAATATTTGGGGCTTATGGGGAAGTGAAGGAGGTAGCAACTTCGCCAAATTATTCACTTTAATGTTGTTTGTGCTTATATGCAACATTCAGTCAATTTATGATTAACTTGGTTGCTCATGTTGCATGGAAAATGCAGATCAGGGAAACACCGCACAAGCGCCATCATAAATTCATTGAGTTTTACGATGTTAGAGCAGCTGAGGCTGCTCTCAAGGCTTTAAATAGGAGTGACATAGCTGGTAAGCGGATAAAGCTTGAACCGAGCCGGCCTGGTGGAGCCCGTCGAAAGTATGTCCATAATTTTCTCTTTAATGGAACCTCTTGATGAGTTATGAGCTAGAATTTACCCTGTACAAGTGCTAATGGACTTGCATACATGCCAAAAATAAATAAAAGAAAAGAAGAACAACACCAAGAACAAAAAGGAAATTAAAAAAAGAATGAAAGAAAAAGAACTCTTGTTGTAGTTCAATTGGTAAAAGATGTCTGATATCCTATGCAAACAAGCGACACATGTTGATTTTGAAATCATTGTGAGAATGCTTGGATGCCTTGATGATGTCTCAGTTAGTGTAAACTAAACCCTGGTCTTCTCCTTGAAATATGGGATAATCATTGCTTTCAATCTATAGATGTCATTTGTGTGGATTAGAATGCAAGTTTTTGACTATATTCAAGAACAAAGATTGATGACTTTGCATCCAATGTGTAGCTTGATGCAGCAACTTGGTCAGGACTATGAACATGAAGAAGTTCGAACTTTTAGGCACTCGGTTGGTTCTCCAGTAGCCAGCTCTCCTCCAGGTATTTTCATTTTCATAAATGACTGGTTTAATCATGGAAAGTTCATGTGATAAGCTAAAGTTTCTGCTGTATCCAACAGGTAGCTGGTCAAACTTTGGCAGTCCCGTTGAGCCCAACTCATTGCTAGGTTATAATCAATCGCCCAGTCTGAGAAATCTCAGCCCTGTGAACGCCAATCATATGCCAGGGCTGGCTTCTATTCTTCCAGGCCATTTGTCAAGTCCTAAGATCACACCAATTGGTAAAGATCCGCGACGACTTGGCCATCTGAATCAGGCAATTACTAGTCCAAAGTCAGTGCAAGGAGTGGGTTATCAGCATTCTCATTCAGTTCCTGAGCATATACCACGTTTGAACATGGGATCTATGTCGTTTGGTGAGTCTAAGTCATCCGGGATTGGGATGCTTTCTGGTCCACAATTTCTTTGGGGAAGTCCCCCCATACAGTCAGAGCATACTGACTCTTCTGTCTGGTCAACTTCATCAATGACACATCCATTTGCATCAAATGGGCAAGGGCAAGGGCATGGCTATCCATATCCTCGTCGGCAGGGCTTGTTCCTCGGATCACATCATGTGGGATCTGCTCCATCAGGAATTCCTCTGGATAGGCATTTAGGTCTTTTCTCTGAGTCTCCTGAAACATCATATATGCACCAAGTTGCATATGGTAGTCCAGGTTCTAGTCACAACAATGGAAGTCATGTCATGAGTATAGGTGGCCTAGGGGCAATGAACATGGGTGTTTCTCTTGCTGGGAACTTCACTGAAAGTGGTTCTCCTAGCCCTAGAATGATGCCACTGGCTAGGAACGGGCATTTATTGTTCGGAAATGGCTCTTACAGAGGAATAGGAATGGCTAACAGTGAAGGGCTAACAGAACGAGGTCGAAGTCGAGGAGTTGAGACTGGAAATGAGATAGACAACAAAAAACAATATCAGCTAGATTTGAAGAGGATCATGAGTGGAGAAGACAGTAGGACTACTTTAATGATTAAAAACATCCCAAACAAGTAAGAACAATCTAATTCTGAATTAGGGAATTTTGAGTTTTTGTATGATTATTTTTTCGCTTAACCATTCCTGTTCTTCCTTATAAGGTACACTTCAAAGATGCTACTCACAGCAATTGACGAGACTCATAAGAATACATATGATTTCCTCTACTTGCCTATTGATTTCAAGGTAGTACAGTATATTATTATGTCTTCACATCTTCCAATAAATTTATATTGAAGGCCAGCACTTATTTCTATGGTTTTGCTGCTTCAGAACAAATGTAACGTCGGTTATGCCTTCATCAACATGGTGTCTCCTTCAAATATCATCTCCTTTTATGAGGTTTGTTCTTTTACAATACCACATTCCTGTTGGTTGAGATTTCTGCGGTGTGTGAAGTGCATATTGTATTTATTGAAAAGAAGAAAAAAGAGTACATGCAGTACAGCCTAAAGTTTGTATAGTGGACGATTTTGTATCCATCTCGTACATTAATGTAGTGTTTTTACGTATTTAAAAAAGCTTAGCATAGTTATATTTGTCTGTTTGAAATGACTTAGTGTGAGATATTTGTGCAGGTATTCAATGGGAAGAAGTGGGAAAAGTTTAACAGTGAAAAGGTTGCTTCCTTGGCTTATGCGCGTATCCAAGGGAAGGCTGCCTTGGTTGGTCATTTCCAGAACTCAAGCTTAATGAATGAAGACAGGCGGTGCCGACCAATTCTTTTCCGGTCAGAGGGCCAAGAAGCAGCTGACCAGGTAGCATGACTGTCTGATCTATGTTGCTCGGACTCTCCAAAACAGCTGTCGCACCCGTGTTGGATCCTCCAAAAATGCACTAAACTTTTGGAGGATCCGGCATGCACCCATCGACATTTTCGGAGAGTCCGAGAAACATAGGTCTGTATTAAACCTACAAACAAATAACTGCATACTGTTGAGCTAATGCAGTTTGTTGGGTTACGAGGCCAGCTAAATATAATGGTTTGATGTTGTTGTCTGCTCTGTCGCGTGCTCATTTAAAATGGTTTTCCTGTTCGGTCTTTTTTTCAGGAACCGTTGCCATCCAACAATCTGAACATTTGTGTGCGTCGGCCTGATGGGTCCTGTTTTGGAGATTCTCTGGATAGTCCAAAGGGTGATTTAGATGACAACCCTGAGAATTAGCTCTGCATGAACCGGGAAAGCGGATGACTCAATGAGTTCTAACTGTGAATAGAAATAGTACATAATAACTTATTAACCCGGAAATCGGATATAGTCTTGTGTGTGCTAGGCAGTGTCTTGCTTTTTGAATGAACGATACTCCAAAGCATACGGGACAAAAAATTATGATGCAGAGAGCATTTTGTTTATACCTTGAGTGACGATACCCTATTTATCTAGGGGAATTGATAAGGTGAAGCATTCAGGCAACTTGTGAAGTCTCTCTGCTTGTTGATATGCTTTGTTGCTAGCGGTGTAGAGAAACTTTCCTTTCTACTTTTTTCTTCGGTTGTCATGTAACTTGTGGTGGATTTGTATTAGCAGATGCTATACATGTTCAGAGAGTAATGGGGCTGTTTCCAAGTGTATAGGATGGAAAACAGACCCTTCCTCTGTTTATGAATTTCACCTTTTTACTGATTCAATGAAGGCAATTGTTGTACTTGACTGTGCAGTAAAATGTATGCTTCTACTTATTCTGTCAACCCAAGTTTTTTTTTCTGAGTCAATAATGCCAAGCATGTTGAGATAGAGTTTTGCTGAGTTGATAGTTAGCTCCTGTTGGGAAATTGAAGTTGAAGTTGAGCGTAGAACTGAGTAGCTTGAGCCAAACCCTCAGTTTAAATTGTTGTCGAAAAACAAAAATGAAAGTAGGACTTGCGCAAGAGGTTGGTCAGAAACTCTTCATGTTTGGTGGAGAGTTGTCATTCGGAAAATTATTATTAGGAGGTGAAAATAGGAAGGAGTTGTATTTGGACATGAATTTTAGTTGGAAAAGGACAAATTTATCAGTAATCATGCACTTCACTTAAAATACTCTTCAAACAAGTTTTATATATTTCATCAAAGTTGAATAGTATTATATATGGCCAAATCCGTTTGACAGTAGGATCAGATTTAAGCTCCATGTCACGCTGTGTTTCTTCTATTAGCAGCACCACTTTTCCATAGGGTCAATCTAAAGCAAAATCAATTGTTTTTTCTAAAGAAAATATCACTTTTCTGATAGCTTAAAAAGTATTCTGCCTTACAATATTGTGGGAGAAAACTTTGAGGAGCTTGTTCCAACTCATGTAGATAAGATCATGCATGTAGATAGATAAATATTATTTGTGCAAGAAACTAAGTAGTGGTTGTGCTCTAGAAAATCACTTGACAAAGTAAATATTTTATAACAATTGGGTTCAGCACATTAGAAGTTTCTCTTACAAATCCTTGCACAAACTCTCCAACAATCATAAGAATGATCATGTTCCCTTTCCACTACAACTGACCTAGCAAACAAAGTTCTCAGGTTTGAAGTGCATCAGCTATTGATCCTGCCAAACTTATAACTTCAAAAGGAGCTTTATCAACAATGGCTTTCACAGTGAGGGGACACGAATCTGTGATCCAAAAGTAAGTGAATGCTTTCTCTGAGCCTGAACACAAGATGGGTATTTTGTCAGTCAGTAAACCAGGTAAATAGAGAAGGAGAGAACTTAAAGTCAGCTGCATAGGAATACAGATAGTTACCATCATCCTTGTGAATAAAACGCTCCCATGATCGCTTAGGGAAAACTCCGTGAGTCACATACGCACTAACCTTTGCTGCACCATGAGCTGCCAAAACTTTCTGGTGAACCAAAGTGTCAAAGAAAGAATGCATTAGCAGTGCAAGCCATACGATCCCAAACATTTTAAAAATTAAAATTTTACCAATTCACTTATTTAAGATGTGAAGTCCTAAACTTTTACCAACTCATAATGACAAAGTGGAGGACCTGATCCTAAAGACAGTCATCAAGGTGTTATCACATCAGAAGGGGATCCTGGTTATAAATATACTGTACACACACACACACACACACACACACACACACAAGTTTATGCACCGGGAAGGATATATTAATCCAAAATGAACTTCGGACTGAAAAGATGGGATGCTAAACAAACAGATAGAATCTACACAGAATTTGAACAAGCAAAAACATATTTCCAAGCTGAAGGAAATCAGGTAATAAAGGACACGAAGCAATCAGAAGATTTACTCAATAGCACATCTCTTCAAACATCTATCTGTAAATGCAGAATAAGGAAAGGAAGAAACAGAGTTGTATTAAGACTGCTTAGCAACCCTTCAAGTAAAGAAACTGGACACTGGACGGACAGTAAGAATTTAAATTATCATTACGTCTAGTTGATGCAAATTTGAGTACCTGGGACACAAACATTATAACACTTATCACATTCAAGAGGCAGGATTACCTGGCATTCAATTAGGGTACCTCCAGATTGGACCAAGTCATCAACAATGACCACATGACAACCGGCAGGATTACCCTCTTTTAGCCTGACTATTCTCTTATCGCCCTCCCGGACTTTAGTGCAAATCACCTAGGAAAAGAAAATCTGCTAACTTCAAGCTGATATAAGGTAGCATAGAGAAACCAAAGAAGGAAGTCTATTATTTACTAACAGCAGGATAGTGACCCAATTGCTTGTAAAATCGCTTCCAAGCTCCATCATCAGGAAAGGCTATAACTATCTGGAATATACAAAATTTAACTATGTGATTATTTTTTGTCATCAAACAAATAACCATTTTAATACGTTAAGTCCCCAACTATGAAAAAATAGGATAAATATGCTTAGCAGGAAAAAAGCCTACCTTCTCAGACTGAGGAAGTTGCTGAAGCCGTTGCTTCAACAGCGGGATCCCAGTCTCAAACAGAGGCAGAACGTGGTCTCCAAAATAAAACCTCTCCTGCAGTAAAAAAGAAAAAACATAGATGTACGACCATAAACATCTCGAGAAACATTTGAACTAAAAACACATGAACGGGTCAAGTTGGTCTCGTCAGCATAACTTTGGAACCTCTAAAAACATGGGAAAAGGAAATTGAGCTGAAAGCCATTATCTTTTGCAGAAGTGAATTAAAGAATCCAAGATACAAGTAGCCTAAGCAACCATATAAGTGAAGAGGACCTACAATTATGTGAAAGAAATGAAATTTAACCTGTAATGCATGTATGTCATAGATGACTACACTGGTTGGACCACCCCTTGAGATTGGAATGTTTGATAATATTCTGGCCATAGTAAATGCAGTTGCCACATCTCCTTCCTCTTCCATCCGTTCAAAGGATCCCGTTGGAAAGAATGGCAATACAAGCGTAAAAGATGCGACAAACAGCCTCGGAAGAGCAAATATCACAGAAAGCTGTTCAAAGATGACTGCTGGTGAGCTGAACGATGCCAGAAAAGCAACATGCTGCCCACGGATATTGTGTGCATTGTTTATGAAGAGATTTGGAAAACCATCCTCGAAACTCCTGGAACATGCACAGATATAAAAAACCGTCAATGCAAACTATTTTACAAGTATCAGCACCGTTTCTAGGACCATCAGTAAACTATGTATAAAGTGCTCCTGCGTACAGATCAATGCAAACTGTTTACGAGTATCAGCATCGGTTCTAGGACCATCAGTAAACTAGGTATAAAATGCTTCTGCGTACAGATTGCCAATTTAAGGTATCTTTACTTGGTCTCAATAACAAAATATGCTGCAATTGGAGTCTCGAACTAACTTTATAAACAAGAAACAAGCTATTTTTCCCTTGTAAAGATACACTCAAACTCCACCACTGTGAGCAAAGTATAGACAGTCTTAACCGCAATAAAGAAGAAAAATCAAGGTAGATTTACGACTAGTGTAAAAATAGACAAACTTTGATGAATCCTCTAGATTGAATGAGACTTAAATAGAGCGAAATGGATATAGAGGATTCATACAGCTACAGCCTACCCCAACTCATTCGAAAATGAGACATAGTTGATACATATCACATACAAAGATCTATGCAAAATTATTTTTCCTTTGATCTTGCTAAGTCATTCCTCAGCGAGACTTTATTAGTCATGTGTCAATGTTTCATTAGAAAATCCAATTGAAATTTGACTTTCTGTTTTCAAATGTTAAATAAAAATGTGAAAAGTTAGTCTTTAGTCAAGCCCATTCCTAACGCAGGAACCCGGGATAGTGGTTTATTCGCTTACCCATTTAGTACGGCAGCATCCTTCATCTAAAAAAACTACCCCAACTAACAATGAAAAGCATTCAAACATAAAAAAGGGGGAATTTTGGTTCGATTTACTCTTATCAAATACTACTTAATCTTTTTAAGAGAATTATATGTAATAAAGTTTAAGCTCTAAGCTTTTGGATGGGGTTTACACAAAGTTAACATGTATGTATGGCATGACAATTAGCCATCTATCAACGACTACATTTTTCATCTGCTTGCTTCAACACGTGACAGACTTATAATAAATGAGTTCATTTCTAAAATTTTAAGCTTTTAAATGACAGCACAATTGAACATGGTACATAAACAAAGACATAAAGCAGTGGAAGATACATAGAGAAAGGTTTTCTTTGGGGGGGGGGGGGGGGGGGTTTACCTCCAGTTAATAGAATGGAGGTGAATGCAGTCAGATTCAGAAGCAATTTTGCGAGCAACTTCCTCCATCTCAACACAGTGGTAGAGAAGAACTTGCTTCTTCGTCAGCGCACCATTTTCCATCGTATCGTATAACAAGTTACAGTAAGAGAGTTGTCTCTCTTAGTTTTTGCCGCCAATAGAGAGAAGGAGAGGGAAGGCAGAGAGAGGCGCGGCCTGTCTGCTGCCTTTTTAAAGTAGTAGTAGTATGTCTTTTTGGCTGCCCTCTCTTACTTTTGCTGGTTTTTTATGCCTACCCAATCTTCCTTTCTTTTTGATTTTTGATAAAGCAAAGCGACTTCTTCTGCACAATTTCCACGCTAATTCAATCAATCAATTAGCCACATTTCTAACTTGTAAAGAAAATTATTTCATAATTTTTTAAATAAATAATCAAACTACTATAATGTTCTCACTTAACTAATTAAAATTTGACATTGACTATATTCTGTGACATTATTTGAGATAAACGACACCATATATTGGAATATAGAATATCAAACCTTTATATTAAAGAGTTTCCTTTATCCTACACCTTACTCAGAAGCATAAAATCTATAGAAAGATTTTTTAAACAAAATGGGTTGGTAGGGCACCTACAATCCTGCAGGCTTTTGAACGGTGCCTAGTGATGGTAACTATTTTATTTTTCTTGGACAAAAAAAACCAATACTGTACTATTTTATTTTTGTCATTTCAAACATGTTGTCCATTGCCCTTCGTAATTTTCGCAGTCTCACCTACTACTAATGAACAAGGCGGTCCTATGGTTAAAGAGTCCCTCGTACACCTACCGTGGGATGAGAAGGCCGTTAATGGTTAAAGAAGAATGGTCCGCTCTACCCAGCTCTTTAGAAGGGAAATTTAACACAATAGTACGAGTTATTAGTGTTTGGCTAGAAACTGTGTGTGTTTGGCTACTTAGTTTGAAAATTACGTTTGAGTAGCAATTAGTGTTTGACCAAACTTTTAAAAGTGTTTCTTAAGTGTATTTTTCTCAAAAGTACTTTTTAAAAAAGTGTTTTTGGAGAGAAGCTATTTTTTTCTGCTTCTGCTTATCACGACCCAATTTTTCCGTTGTTTGGTATCGTGATGACACCTAGTTTTAGGGATTACTTAAGCCTAACATTAATTGAAACAACAAACATTATTTAAATAACATCTAACAAGTTAAACAGAAATCTCTTAAAATTTTCAAAACCGGTAGTACAAGTCATAAGCTCTACAGAGTTTGCTAAAATTTTCTAAATACAACTGTTTGAAATAAAGTACACAATATGAATACAAATCAGAAGGTGACTCCGAAGCCTGCGAACGCAGTAACAAGTTTACCTTGAGTCTCCACAGCAACAGTCCGCACAACTAGCTAATGATCAACTGACTTCGAAATACCTGGATCTGCACAAAAATATGCAGAAGTGTAGAATGAGCACACCACAGCGGTGCCCAGTAAGTATCAAAACTAACCTCAGTGGAGTATATTAACACTTCTTTTTAAACTTGCTTAATTAATTATTTGCATATAAAAAATTCATATTGAAATTAATTTCCAATAATTATCAAACCAACAAATTCACAGAATTACATAAATAATCATGTAGCAATCACATCAAATTGTCATATAACAACAGATTCAACAACAACAAGGATTTAGGTACGGCAAATAGATGATTAAATATATACCAACAATTATCCAATTTACCACACAATATGCTCAAGACTTTAACTCAATAAAATTTACACATATAAGCCGAGTACGTACTCGTCACCTCACGTACACGGCTTTTCACATTTCATAAATGGCACATAAGACTCGATGCCTAAGGGGTAATTCCCCCACTCGAGGTTAAGCAAGATAATTACCTTTTTGAAGTTAGGTTGGTATTCCAAAATAGCCTTTGTAACGACCCGACCGGTCGTTTTGAATATTATAACCCCGTTCCCCAATTCCTTCTCAAATTATGCGTTACAGTTATTTTATGACTTGTCGGGGTAGTTGGTTCGAGTCTGGAAGGAATTCGGAATTAAATAAGATACTTAGTCTCAAAATTAAAAAATTAAGTTATAAAAGTTGATCGGATGTGGAGTTATGTGTAAAAGACCTCGGATTCGAATTCTAATAATTCCAATAGTTTTGTATGGTGATTTTAGACTTAGGAGCGTGTCCGAAAAATTATTTGGTCGGTCCGTAGAGGAATTAGGCTTGAAATATCGAAAGTTGAATTTTTGAAAAGTTTGACCGGGGGTTAACTTTTTGATATCGGGGTCGGAATTCGATTATGAAAATTAGAGTACCTCCGTTATGTCATTTATGACTTGTGTACAAAATTTGAGGTCAATCGGACGTGATTTGATAGGTAGTCATTTGTAGAAATTAAAAATTCCAAAGTTCATTAGGCTTGAATTGGGGTATAATTAATGGTTTTAGCGTTGTTTGAGATGATTTAAAGGTTCGACTAAGTTCGTATGATGTTTTAGGACTTGTTGGAATATTTGGTTGAGGTCCCGAGGGGATCGGGTGATTTTTGGATGGTTAACAGATCATTTGTGGCCTTGGTGAGATTGCTGATATCTGCTGCTGCATTTTTCGGATTTTCTCTTTCGCGTTCGTGAGTGGGCCCTCGCGTTCGCGAAGAGGAATTTCAGGCAGGCAGGATTTACTCTTCGTGAGGGGGTTTCGCGTTCGCGAAGAGGAGCTGGGTTGTGCATCGCGTTCGTGTTTGGGTATCGCGTTCGCGAAGGAAAAAATAGTAGGCATGGATTTTTGCCTTCGCGTTCGCGAAGGGGCTCCGTAAAGCATCGCGTTCGCGAGCAGTCTCTCGCGTTCGCGAAGAGCAAATGTTGGGCAGCACATTTTGTGCTTCGCGAACGCGAGGGACCTGTCGCGTTCACGAAGAAGAGAAGTCTGGATAGAAAGTTTAAGTTCAAAAAATGGGACTTCGTCCCTTTTTGTATTTTAACGATTTTGAGCTCGGATTGGGGCGATTTTTGGGTGATTTTCAGAGAAAACAACGGGATAAGTGTTCTTAACTCATTATTGGTTAAATAACCCAAATACATGGTTATTTTTATCATTTAATTGGTGAATTAAGTTGAAAAAGTTTGAAAATTCCTCCTCGATAAATTTGAGGATTTGAGGGCCGAATTATTATCGAAATTTAGTAATTTTAGTATAGTTAGACTCGTGGTGGAATGGGGGTTCATATTTTATAACTTTTGTCGGATTCCAAGACGTGGGCCCCATGGGCCATTTTTGAGCTAAAATTCGGATTTTTATGGAAAATTAGTATTTTCTTATGGAATTAATTCCAATGAATTTTATTGACTGGAACGAATTATTTATGGCTAGATTCGAGGCGTTTGGAGGCCAATTCACGAGGAAAGGATATTGTAGAATAAGAATTTCACGGCTTGAGGTAAGTAACAGTTTTAAATATGGTCCTGAGGGTACGAAATCCCGGATTTTGTGTCATGTGATTACTTTGGAGGTGACGCACATGCTAGGTGACAGGCATGTGGGCGTGCACCGAGAGGATTGTGACTTGATCCGTTCCGTGAGACTATAAAGTTGAATAACTTGTTGTTAGCTATGTGCTCTTTATGTGTTGTAGAAATTTGACTAGAAACCATATTAGGCTATATGTTGGTACTGTTGGGACCTACAAAGGTCGTGTACATGTTGAACTATTTGCTTAATTATTGTTTGTACTCAGTCATAGTTTACTTGATTATTTTATCTCAGTCTCTATTGTTCATTATTGATGCATCATATCATTGTTGTTTGGATTGATTTTTATGATTTCTGAGATCCCGTGAGACTGGAGAGATTTATGACTGAGCAAGGTCGAGGGCCTGATTATGAGATATATTATTATAGCACGTGAGTTAGTTGTGCAATACGTGAGTTGTCCGTGCGGATCCTTATATTATACTATAGCACGTGAGTTGGCCGTGCAACACGTGAGTTGGCCGTGCGGATCTAGATATTTATATTATGGCACGTGAGTTGTCCGTGCAGTACGTGAGTTGTCCGTGCAGATTACAGCGCTTGGGCTGTAAGAGCCCCTCCGGAGTCTGTACACACCCCCAGTGAGCGCGGGTATCCATTGAGTGTGAGCGCTGTTGCTGCACTTGGTTGCTATATGTCATTATTGTGAAATCTCATTAAGGATTTATATCCGGATTACATAAACTTGAACTGTATAAAATGGATTTGACATAAACTGCCGGATTTGAAAGCATGTCTATTCTTTGATGGAATTACTGAAAGTGAACTGTAACTGTGTAGCTCGTCATTATCTTCAGTCCCTTATTTATTATTGTTACTTGCTGAGTTGGTTGTACTCATACTATATCCTGCACTTCGTGTGCAGATCCAGATGTTCCCGTACATAGCGGGTGCTGATCTTTTCGCGCGGTTGAATTTTCCGGGGATTCTGAGATAGTTGTCGTGTTTCGCAGACCTTGCCTCTCCTTCCCTATCTCCTTATTTGCTTTATTTGGTTTCAGACTTATATTCACAATTAGATGCTCATGTACTCAATGACACCTAGTTTTGGGGAGTGTTTGTATCAGTAATTGTGGGATTTCGTATTGTATTTAAATATTATATTTTTAAACTTAAGAGAAATTGTGGTTTATTGAGATTACCGGCTTGCCTAGTATCGAGATAGGCGCCGTCATGACAGGTTGGGATTTTGGGTCGTGACAAGTTGGTATCAGAGCCCTAGGTAACATAGGTCTCACGATTCATGAGCAGGTTTAGTAGAGTCTTGCGGATCGGTACAGAGACATCTGTACTTATCTTCGAGAGGCTGCAGAACCCTTAGAAAAATTTTTCTTTCTTGTATTTTGTCGTGCATATTTGTTGATTCTGGAAACTAAATTTCTGCTATCCTATTCTCTCACAGATGGTGAGGACACGTACTATCGGATCAGACAATCAGCCACCAGTGCCACGAGTTAGGGCCACGAGAGGCAGGGGTCGGGGCCGTGGTAGAGGCCGGGGCCAAGGTAGAGGTAGAGGTGTAGCTCGTACCACAGTTGGACCAGCACCTGCAGTACCACCAGTTACTCCAGCTAAGGAGCAGATTCCAGATATAGTGGAGCCGACAGGATCAACTCATGTACCAGTTGTGCCCATTGAGATTCCAGGCCTTCAGGAGACTTTGGCCCAGATATTGGCAGCCTGCACTGGTCTTGCTTAGATGGTTTTGGCTCAGGCCGCACCTGCCACTTCTCAGGCTGGGGGAGGTACTCATACCCCCGTTGCCCGTACTCCAGACCATGTAGTACATGGACTTCAGAGA